GGCATGAGCACCTTAAGCACTGGCTGTATTACCTCCATCCTATTTTGATGCGACAGCAGTCGGACTACAGTGTGTATGTCATCAACCAGGATGGAGAGGGAGTGTTTAACCGGGCGAAACTGATGAACGCAGGCTACGCTGAAGCACTGAAGGAATATGATTTTGAGTGCTTTGTCTTCTCTGACGTAGATCTGGTTCCTATGGATGACCGTAACCTCTACAGATGTTTTGACAGTCCCAGACACTTGGCTTTGGCTATGGACAAATTCAACTTCCACTTACCCTATGACCACTACTTTGGTGGGGTTATTGCATTGTCCAAGGAGCAGTTCTTGAAGATTAATGGCTTCCCAAACACTTACTGGGGCTGGGGTGGTGAGGACGACGATATGTATAAGCGAATTATCCTCCGTGGAATGTCCATTTCTCGACCTGACATGGTGACAGGAAAGTACAGGATGGTCAAACATAAGAGAGACCTGCACAATGAAGCTAACCCAAAGAATCCTGACAAGCTGCACCAAACCCATTTGACCATGAATGAAGATGGGATTAATTCCTTAAAGTATACAGTCAAGGAGATTGTGAGGGATAAACTGTTCACTTATATCAATGTGGATATTCATGCTCCACCAAGCTGAATGAGGATCGAACCTGTGGATCTACTGTCTCAAACAAAAGGAGGTGAAACTGATGTGATTTTATGTCTTAACATCTCTGGGGATCAAGTTCTTTTGTCTATTATCGTTGATTTTTTTTTTTTTTTTTTAAGATCACTGAATATCATATGACAAAAAACACTACTGTACACCTTAGTTTTTGTATATTGTTTCTCATTTACACAATTATTCTAAATGTCATGATTCTGTGTGAAGACATTTGTCCCAACTGTATAATGCAGTAACAACTTATTTGTTTTGTTCAGTGATGCAGTGGCTGATGTTTCCTTTTCTTATTTTAAGATATTTACTGCTTTAAGTTATTTGTGTTTTTTTTTGTTTTGTTTTCTAACTGTGTTTCAGAAAATCAAGAAGGGCTGAAATAAAATGCATGGCCACCATGGTCCAACAGTGAGGTTGCCCATAGTATCAAAACTAAATTAGATTTATGGTGAGCACACTGGGAATGAGTTACAAACTACCAACACATTCTCACTCCGACCTCGTCACATATTGGCGTTTTGGCCATGGACTTTCCACATCCAGATATGACATGCAACGTACCCTGGGCGTGTTGGTTGTTGACATTCTGCCTGTTACATGCATTGTCTACTTTCAAAATACACTTCCGCTTTCACAGGAAGTTAACCATTTACATACAGTCTCTTTCAAAATAAATGCCCTACGTCAGTACAACACATGGATTGACCTTTTTTTTCCCCCCTCTAACAACTAAGGCACATGGTTAGGTTTAGAATTAAAGAATAGGATTTGGCTTTATAATCTTACAGGAGGCGTTCCCGTCCCAACTTTTTTGGATTGTGTTGCAGGCATCTAATTGAGAATGAGTGAAAATGTACAAAAACAAAAAGTATATCAGTTTGAACTTTTAAAATCTTGTCTTTCTACTGTAGTCAATTGAAAACAGGTAGAAAGGATCTGGAAAATCATTAAATTCTGTTTGTACTGTCTTACACAGCGTTTCAGCATTTTAGAATTTGGGTTTATACTATTACTATACTATACTATTAAAAGAACTATAATGACAGTATTGTACACTTTTAATTCAATTTATTGATTAGATTCTGGGAAACCCACGAGGAAACAAATCTTAAACACCATGATTAATACAGCAGGTATGAGGCCCAACCTGAACAGCTTACAGTAACAAGGAGGCTGCACCCAAAGAAAATAAAACTTGCCTGGCTGCTCTTTTGCTTGGAACATACTTGATTTGCCAAGAGAGGTTTGGGTAGAGGAGCTGTATGAGAGCTGCTGAGTGAGCAGTACTCAACGTCAAAGGAGGCAAAAATGCTGAAAAAGCTCTTTAACATCCTGGTCTTTTTTACTATCTTCAGTTTGGCATGTTTTATTGTGCTTCTATTCCACAGCCAAAACAACACTTTAATTTGTTTTACAAAGCCACAACATATGGCAAATGGAGACAACACACCTGAACATGTTCAACTGAGGACTACTGCAATCAAGACCCTGGGACCCTGCCCTGACACCCCTCCAAATCTTGTGGGTTCACTCCATGTAAAGCTTTATCCTAAACTGACTTTGGACGATGTGAGAAAGGAGGTCGGACCTCGTCTTCAAGAAGGAGGACGGCACAAACCACCAGACTGTATTGCCCAACAGAAGGTAGGTGAATAAATGGAGAGTAAAAATGAATAAATGAACAGAATAAAAACTAGAACAGTTTACCATGATTTTAGATACCTGAAATCAGTTTTCTGGCACACCTGTCTCGTTAGGTCTTGCCTGTTCCCTGAGTCTTCCTTTCACACCTGTTCTGTATTGGTCTTGTCTGCTCCATTCTTCTTGTCAGCCAATCCCTGTTTCACTCCTTTTGCCCATCTCTTCCTTCTCCAGCTGTGTCTCATTCTTGTGTTTATATACCTGTGTGTTTCCCTTTGTCCTGGGTCAGTCCGTCTGCGTACCTCTGCGTATCTTCTGCGTCCGTCTGTGTACCTTCTGTGTTCATCATTCCTGCCATCATGCATCCATCCCTGGTCTTCATGTCTTTTCCTGGTTGGTTTTAGTTTGGATTTTTGTTCTGCTCCCAGATGTTTTTTTGAGTTGCCTGTAACTTACTTATTTCACTTGTTTAGGTGGCGATCATCATCCCATTCAGAAATAGGCATGAGCACCTTAAGCACTGGCTGTATTACCTCCATCCTATTTTGATGCGACAGCAGTCGGACTACAG